ATAGTCGCGAGAGAGAAACTGAGCACATTTTTACCTATTGCTATTCGAGATATTTTTCTTTTATATATTTTCGTACTTTTTTTTGACATTCTAATAATTAATTTATAAGAATCATTTTGAATAGAATGCTAATGCTTTAAGTGAATTTTATACATTATAAATGTTCTAAATTCCATGTTTATTCAATAATTATTTTGCAAATGAAGCCGCAGATTTTCTTGTTCGCACTTTTAACCAGAATCCATCTTCAGCATTCATAATAAACGTTTTTTTGTTCAATACCATGGGATTTTTGGTCTTAACATCAGCTTCAACATCGCAACGCCGTAGTAGATACAACAGCATAATTTTTATTTCCATTAGGGCGAATCTATTACCTATACAAATCCTTGGACCGATACCGAACGGAATATACACCGAGTTGTCCATTTCGCTGTTTAGAAATCTGTCCGGATCGAATTTCTCTGATTGCGAATAGTACTTAGAATCACGCTGTATAGCGTAACTCGGAAACCAAATGCTATCTCCAGGTTTGACCGTGACCGGTTCGCCGTCTGAAGTAGCTGGTGGCAATTCGAATTCTTTGACGCATAATCTATCAAGGAAAGCCGACAGCGGATAAAGTCTTAGAACTTCGTTCACCACAGCATCCATATACTTCATACCGTTAATGGCTTCATAAGTGGGCTTGCCATTAGTCTCTTTGAGTACATCGTCGACCTCTTTTCTCAATTTATTTTGTACGTCTCGATTAACAGCGATCTCGTGCGCCGCAAAGCACATAACCGTTGCCACGGAATCGAATCCACCTAAGAAAAAAGTGAACGCCTGAGCGGTCATCTCGTTAATATCGAACACTGGTCCATGATTTTTGTCTCTAGTTTCCATCATTAGCTGGATCATATCTGGTCGAATAATTCCTTGCTCGTCTCTGGCCTTCACGGTGCTGGTGACGACTTCTTTGAAAAAATTGTCTATCCTCGTACTAAACATTCTGAGTCCGAAAAATTTTGCAACTTTCGGGAAATTTCTGTGCATGAAAAATATAAATGACTGCCAGCCGCCGACGTTCAGGGTTTTACCAAGTAGAAAAAATTCGTTCTTTGGGTGCTTGAATGAGTCCACACTGATACCAAAAGCGCATGTGGCAATCACGTCATTAGCATATCTGCTTACTATGTCCTTCATTTCGTACGTTTTGCCAGTGTTTCCAGACTCAATGACCAAAAAATTAGTAAAATTTTCAGCGCATTGGCAAATTAATTCAAACATCATTTTCATTTTGCTGGCCGTGAAGCTGGGACTGAGGAGTTTCCGCATCTCGCGCCAATGATCGCCTCGCAAACCAAACAAATTCCTGCTGGCCATCGGTTCAATCTCCTCATTCACAAAATTATTATGGTCGCAAAAATTGTCGAAGTTCTTAATAGCGATTGTGTTGATCATGTCCGGATCGCGTATTACGTAGACTGGTCTCATAAATTCGTAGAAACCGAAATACTTTGCATCAGGAAAAAGATTGTATATGTCGCGTAAGTTATCCATCAAGGACACACGTCGGAAAATGAAAGGTGCCAGGTTGCCCAGATACGGAACTGGTCGCACATGTGGAATCTTCAATCGCTCGAAGTGAGATAACTTGCTTAGAACGAAATAATATAAAAAAATACCTGCAGTGAGGATAATGAGTAACAAAGTAGAAAATTCCATTGCGATAATGATTTTCAGATCAATTATATGAGAATGTTGTTGATTGTTGCTGGTTTTTGTCACAATTTTGGCCAAAAAAATAATTTTTACTATTTCTTATTAAATCTATATTATCACTACGTAAAAACGTGTAGTCCACTAAAAACTGCTAGTCTACTGATTTTATAAATTGCCGTTAGCACTTCTATTTAAATCACACGCGATTTTTACGGCTGATTATTCACAAGAGATTGATATCTTATCGATTAGATAAATTATCAACCAATGAAACGCATATGTGTGTTATGTACGAGGTAGTATCGTTGAGTGTTTCTTGTCTGATAAAATGAAATTTAATTGCGTCAAGTTGCGTCAAGGATGATATGAATCATAAGGTTATATTTTCAAACAATTGTGTAATCCTCGGCAATTACATGATTTGCGTTATTTTTATTATCAATGTATTGGACTTGTTATTTGTGAAGTAAGTTATCTTAAAGATTAATTGACTGCATGAAAATTTTATTTTAGCAACGTCATCGTTTAATATTCTTGAAAGAAATAATATTGAAAAAACAAATATTTTATAACGTGTGTGAAGTTAGCCCAGTACTTTTCAAATTTTATATTTTTTTTAATTGTGCCGAATTGTGCTATGTTTGTGCCGGTTTGTGCCATAAACGCGAAATCGATAACTCAAATCACACCGTTGAAGAAAAAATCAAATTTTTATTAGCCCAGCACTTTTCGAATTTCATATTTTTCTTAATTGTGCCGAATTGTCCTATGTTTGTGCCGATTTGTGCCGTAAACGAAAATCGACTACAACCTATGGTTCTCTTTCAAAACGGAGAAAAGTTTTTTTATGCACAAGCAAATTGGGTCCAGTACGACTGAAAAACTGATTTTATCAATTATTCTCGTTGGGAAAAGTTGTTGTACTGGCCTAGCACAACAACTTTTCCTAATGACAAAATGGTCTAAATAGCTTTTTGCAGAATCGGTGGATAATTGTTTATACAGCCATTTTTGACATTTATTATTTTGACAATTCCAATGCTTGTGCTGAGTTGTGCTAGTCTAGCAACGAGAATAATTGATAAAATCCGTTTTTCAGTCGTACTGGACCCAATTTGTTTGTGCATAAAAAAACTTTTCTTTGTTTTCAAAGAGAACCATAGGTTGTAGTCGATTTTCGTTTACGGCACAAACCGGCACAAACATAGCACAATTAAGAAAAATATAAAATTCGAAAAGTACTGGGCTAACTTCACACACGTGCGCGCACCGTAATCGTTAGGGCCAGCGTCGCCGAACATTAGGAGCGGTGCTATCCGATTAATGTTTGATTCTTCTTCCTTGATCATTAAAAATTAAAAAAATTTTTTTATTTTTTAATTTATTATGTGGAAATATTTGAATAGATTTTCACGTCACTTATGAGGTACTATTGCTATTGAGGAAAAAAGTATTTTTAATAAATTTTTTTAACATTAATCGGATAGCGCCGGTTTTAACGCTCGGCGGCGCTGGCCTTAGCGACTGTGGCTCGCGCGGTAAGGAAAGGAGGCGTGTGCCGCGAGAATCGGCTGAAAAGCTGAAGTAATTCGAGCCGAGCACTGACATAGGTAACAGATTTGCCTTAATGGAAGAAAACATTATGCTATTATACCTGTTATGACATTACGATCTCGAACTTAAAACTAGAAATCCTATTGTGTTGAACAATAAGATGTTTGTTGTATGAGCTAAAGGTGGTTTCTGATTGAAATTGCGAGGGAGGAAATCGACGGTTACTGTTGCATAATGTTTTGCAAATGGACATAAAAATTTAAAAACATTTGTAACTAATAATGCTTACTTCAAGTTTGAAAATTATATTTTCAATAAATTTTACAATTATTACTTGCTTAAATGACAAAAAGATGGATTTTGAATATATATATATATATATATATATATGTATATTAAAAATGCCACGTAACGCTGTAGATTCAATAAAAATTTTGTGAGTGTGGGCCGTAATTATCAATATTTGCAAGCTATTATTAAATCAATGATTTTTGTTTACAAAAAGTGCCTCAAGAACTGTGACTATTTTTTAAAATTTTTTGATGTAAAACAAAAGAGCTTTTTTACATTCGAATGTTTAAATTCAATATTTGATGTGAATATTTAATTATGTAAATAACATAAAAAAGTCAAGAGTAAAAAGTTACAAAAAATTATTTTCCAGCTGACATATATTCTTTATTTTTACGAAAAAAATAAAATAAGTCGCAATATTATATTTTCTTATTTTCAATATTTCAAATATTTGAAATATAAATATCAATTTTCTACAGTTATATGCCAAATATAAAAGAGAATGGCGCCATAAAATCTTAAAATATTAAAAACAAAATTATTTTAATCTTACGACTTAATATAAGATATCATCATAACGATACTTTGATAGTTTGCCAGATAAATGTATTAATAAAAAAAAACATTATTTACTGAAAAAATTTATATTACTTTACGTTTACTTATTCTTATTTGTATTTCTTAAATACTGCATTTAATAATGTTTTTCAATGCTACTACAATTTAACTGAATGAAAGTTTGTACATGTATACATAATAAAAAAAAAGCATACTTTGTAACTGAATAGAAGAATGCATATTGAAGAATTGATGGATTGACAACTTTATGTACAAGTATCTTAATCTAATACATACACATGCACAAATATAAAATGACAAAACAGGATAAGTGTACATTTTGTTATATAATATTCATACGTTAAAAAAGGAATATATAAGTGTATATTTTATCATCCAAATAAATAAAAATAAAATTTTATTTTGCATTCGAGCCATTAGTAAATTTCAAAGAGAGAGATATGTCTGATCGCTACGTAAACACTTAATTATTAAAGAAATATTATATTTTGTCTAAATCTTGTACTAACTATTTTTGTAATAACATGATATTTGCCACCTTTATATTTATTAATAAAATATTGGCATAAATAAAAAACCAAAAAATATATTTAATTAACATACCATCGCATAGAAAAACGAACGCTATTCCAATTTAACTACATTTTTGGTTTTGCATTAAAAGCTTAAAAATTTAATATGTATCTTTCAGTAATTTTTTAGTTGCTAAAAAACATATAATATTATTATTTGTATAGCACTACAATTATTTCCTTTATAATTTACTTTTGTAATAAATCGAAAAATGAAATTAACATAAAATAAAGAGAAGAAAAAACATCAAATTATTTTACATATTTCTTATCTAGAAACTGAAGCTAGTAAACAGAAATATGCGATAAAAATTGAATTTAAAACACAACATATGGTTACAACATTGTTTCATTTTAATATCTTAAATGATGATACTGATTGTGAAATGACGATATATTGAGATGAATACGTTTGCAGTTGACCTTTAAATCAACTTTACGAGCAATGAACATGATACACTGATAAAAATAAAAATGCAAAATACATAATAGGTTACAAGATAGCCATCAATCAAATATATAACCTTATGACTTTTACGCTTGTACACTTTGTAGCTATGTATATATCTCGTCTTGATAGATGAAAAGCATTCAGTTATAGCGCAGTACGCATAGTGCATGTTCATTGTCAAAGTCAAAGATATTCGTTTCTTAGAAACGTTGGTCGTAAAAATTGTTTTAAAGTTTCAACAATAATTAATAAAATTAATAAATAAATAAGTAATGATGAATAATAATAAATAATAAATAAGTACGTTTTTGTGAAGTTTTGATGTAAATATAAAAATTATTTAAATAAACAATAGATTGTGAGAATTATATATATATTTCGTCGACTGTGATAAAAAGACGCAACAAACACAGAAACATTTTTTTCATACATAATTAAACCAGTTATCATTATCGCAATGGAAACTTCTACTTTGCTCTTAACTATCCTCACGGCAGGTGTCTGCTTTTACTATTTCATTCTGAGCAAGTTATCTCATTTTGAGCGGCTGAAGATTCCACACATACGACCGATTCCGTTGCTGGGCAATATGGTATCTTACGTTTTTGGACACGCATCCTTGATGGATAATTTACGCAACATATACAATCTGTTCCCTGACGCAAAGTACTTTGGATTTTACGAATTTATGAGGCCTATCTATGTGATCCGCGATCCGGATTTAATCAATACAATTACTATCAAAAACTTTGATAATTTTTGCGACCATCTTAATTTGACAAACGAAAAAATTGAACCAATAGCAAGCAAAAACCTGTTTGGTTTGCGTGGCGATCATTGGCGCGAAATGCGAAAGCTCCTCAGTCCTAGCTTTACGTCCAGCAAAATGAAAATGATGTTTGGATTAATGTGCCAGTGCGCTGAGAACTTCGCTAATTTTCTAATCACCGAATCCGGGAGTACTGGCAAGACTTATAATATGAAGGATGTACTGAGCAAATATGCAAACGATGTCATTGCCACATGCGCTTTTGGTATTAGCGTGGACTCGTTCAAGCATCCAAGGAACGAATTCTTTCTGCTAGGCAAAACTCTAAACTTTGGCACATGGATGTCTTTTGTATTTCTTATGAATAGAAGCTTTCCGAAAATTTCACAGTTTATCAATCTAAGAATGTTCGGTTTAAAAGTGGAAAAATTCTTCAAGGATATTGTCAGTAGCACAGTAAAAACAAGGGACGAGCAGCGGATTTTTCGACCAGATATGATTCAACTAATGATGGATACTAGAGACAAAAATCATGGCCCCACATTCGACATCGACGAGATGACTGCACAAGCATTCGTCTTTTTTCTGGGCGGATTTGATACCGTGTCGACGATTATGTCTTTTGCGGCACACGAGGTCGCTGTCAATCCTGATATACAGAGCAAGTTGAGAGAGGAGATCGACGATGTCCTCAAGATGACCAACGGCAAACCTACATACGAGGCAATCAATAACATGAAATACTTGGACGCAGTTATAAACGAAACTCTAAGAGTTTATCCTCCAGGATTTTTTCTCGATAGATTGTGCGTTAAAGAGTTCGAATTACCGTCGGCGACGCCAGATAGTGAACCGGTCATACTTAAGCCTGGAGATAGTATCTGGGTTCCAGTTTTTGCTCTACATCGTGATTCTAAATATTTTTCACAGCCGGAAAAATTCGATCCAGACAGATTCCTGAATGACGAAGTAGATAATTCAGTTTACATGCCATTCGGTATTGGGCCCAGAATTTGCATAGGTAACAGATTCGCCCTAATGGAAGCAAAAATTATGCTGTTTTATCTTTTATGGCATTGCGATGTTGAACCCGACATTAAAACCACGAATCCTATGGTATTGAATAAGAAGTCGTTTGTCGTGATGCCAGAAAATGGGTTCTGGTTAAAATTGCAGACGAGGAAATCGGCGGTTACATAATGTTTATCGAACGGACATAAAATTTAGATAAACATTCATAAAAATTTATAAAACACATTTATAAAAATATATTTTAATACACATACACATATTTTGTATGCATATTTTTTACATAAAATGTGTAATCTAAATAAAAAAGATTTTAGATACAACGTTGAATATAGCATTCTATGTGATACTCAATCGAATTACTGTTGAATGTTTCAATTTATTAATGATTTCAAAATAAGATAAAAAAACTATTACGTATGGTTTATTTTTAAATTTATTATATGAAATACATTTGCGGACATAATGCATATGTACAATACTAGTAGAGTATATGATAATAGCATACCATGCAAGGCAATAAGTGGTTTTTTAAATATAATTAGTTCAGTTTTTTATGTCGCAATTATCAGAATTATCACGTAAAGCAGTAGATTCAATAAAAATTTTATTAGTTTTTGTCGCAATTATCAATATTTACAAGCCATTATTAAATTAATACTTCTTTCTTCGTAAAAAATACCTCAACAAACTATAACTATCTTTTTTTTCTGCGTAAAACGAAAAAGCTTCTTTACATTTGAATGTTTAAATTCAGTCTTTTTACGTAAATTTTTAACATAAAAAAATAAAGAATAAAGAGTTGCAAAAAACTTATTTTGCAGCCGATATATGTATATTCTTTATGTTTGCGAAAAAATAAGGCATAATATTATATTTATTTATTTTGAATATTTCAAATATACTTGAAACAAAAATATCAATTTTCTATAGTTATATTTATTTTATATGCCAAATATGAAATAGGATGACGCCATGAAACCTTAATATATTCTAAAAAATTGTTATTTTAATCTTACAATTCAAGATAAGATATCATATCATTATAAAAATACTTTGATAATTTGCCAGAATAATGTATTAATAAAAATAAATAATATTAATAAATAAAATTAATAATATTAATAAAAGTTTTTATCAATACTTATAAATATTTTTATTAATACTTTTATTAATTTTATTAAATAAATAAAAAATAAAAGTATGAATAAAAAAAAATTTTTACTGCAAAAATTTTTTCTTAATTTTCTTCCATTTACACATTCTTTTCATTTTTATTTCTTAAATACAACTTTTAATTCTGTTTTTCAATACTACTTCAATTTAATTGCATGTAAGTTTGTAGATATATATATGATACGAAAAAGCATAACTTTGTAACTAAATATCATACAAGAGTATGTTGAAGAATTGATGGATTGTATAACTTTATTTACAAATATCTTAATCCCATATACATACACATACACGAATATAAAATGACAAAACAACATATGTGTACATTTCGTTACATAACATTTGTAAAAAAGTTAACATTGTTAAAAAAGCAATAAATGTATATTTTTTCTTCTATATCCAAATAAATAAAAATAAAATTCTATTTTACAGACGAGCTGTTAGTAATTTCAAAGAGAGATATTTCTATTCGCAATATAAACACTTAATTATTAAAGAAATATTATATTTTGTATAAATCTTATTCAAGACTATTTTTGTAATAACATGATATTTGCCACTTTGGTATTTATTAATAAAATGTTGACAAAAAAGCCAAAAAATATATTCAATTCATATGCCATCGCATAGAAGAAGGAAAGGAATAAAATGGTATTCCAATTTAACTATATTTTTGGTTTTGTGAAATGTTTGGTTTTAAAACTTGAATAATTTCCGGTTGCTAAAAAGCAAATAATATCATTCGTATAGAAGCAGCAATTATTTCTTTTATAGTTTGCCTTTGTAATAAATCAAGAAATAAAATTAGCATAAGATTAAAAAGAAGAAACCTCAAATCGTTCTACAGATTTCTTACCTGCAGTTAGATAAAGAAATATGCGATAAAAATTAAATTTAGAACACAACATGTGATTACAACATAGTTTTATTTTGATATCTTAAACGATGATATTGAGATGACGATACATTGAGATGAATACGTTTTCAGTTGACCTTTAAATCAATTTACTTCACGAGCAATGAGCATAACACATCGATAAGAATAAAAATGCAAATAGGCAAATACAGGATAGCGCCATCAATTAAAGATATCATTTTAAGACTTTTACGCACTTTGTAGCTATCTATCTCATTTTGATAGATAAGAAGCATTTTTTTCGTAAAATAGATAAGTTTCTTGACAATATTTCTTATTTGTATTCCTTAAATACTGCATTTAATAATGTTTTTTAATGCTACTGCAATTTAATTGAATATAAATTTGTACATCTATATGTACAAATGTATAATATGTACTATCTCCGAGTCGAAATTTTAAACCTTCTTTGATTCTTCAATTTCTCAATTAAAGATAGGTTTAAGAGGATGCTGGAGTGGAAGCCGAACTCCGACGCGAAAGTTCCATCATTTCGATGGTACTAAAAATGAAATGACATTATCGGCGTAGCCTACGGACCTATGCCGCGTAGGTCCGTGTGTACGCATTTGTTTGTAGTGGTAACTCACTACACTGACGTGTGGTCTGTGTACGTGTGATCGGATAGTTTGTAAACAAACGATGTTTGCGCTTGTTTCCTCGACTGAAATTTCGTCGCAAGGCTGCAATATAATGTCCGAGAAGACATAGGCGTATACATGATGTCAAATAAATATGAATTAAATATCACAAAATAATAAATTAAAAATATACATATAATACTATATATATCACTGAAGAAAAATGTCATATATTTTTCTTATTTTTATCCTTATGTAGTAAATACAAAATAGCTAATTAATCAATTAATTAATAT